AGTTCAACTACTTATCAGAATATCGTAGACAGCGACAAATACTTAAACAAAATACAGGAATTTGAAGAATATACATGATATCAAATCAAACGTAATATGAAAGCTATAAATGACAAAATGTTACAAAATGATAGACAATCAGATACCATTTGTACATGTTATTAGTACAAAAACTTATATAACGTAAAACCTACACATTACTCTGAATAAGCCTTCTCGTTTCTCATAGATTAAAAAACAATATAGTTGCTGCCTTAAGGAATTCATAGCTACTGTTTTTATATGAGATAAGCTGGTTAAAACAAATAATATTTAATGTTCATGAAATTTCTACCATTAGATAAATTTGGCCAGATGGTAAAGAATTATAAGATTAATTCGAAATCAAATGTTTAAATGTTATTTCGTGCTTGTCATATGACACTGGGCCAGTAATTATCTTGTATGTTTTCTGTAAAGCAACATACACAGTGATTTTGTGCATGTATTTAAACAGAAGATTGGTTTTGAATGATTATTATTGGAACAATGTACTGATTGTTCTTCTATGAACAAAATATAGCAACATAAAATACAGTGTCTTGCAAAATTGTATTCAACCCCTACCAATAATGTCACATTTTGATGAAATATAGATAATGTAAACAATATTTTGGCCCGGCATGGCCAGGTGGTTAGGGCGCTCGACTCGTAATCTGAGGGTCGCGGACTCGAATCCCCGTCACACCAAACATGGCAACCTCCGCCTTTGCCTGGTCCCAAGTCCAGGATGAGAAAGGAGGAGGGTTGGGCACCGGGCTAGCAACTTCACCCCGTAAAAACCAACCTGCTACAAGTAACTGCAACAACAACTTCCGATGGCGAGGTGTTGTTGCGGCCCTATGCTCCACTGGGAGTTTACAGGAATAATGAAAAGAAATTTTAATGAACTTGTTTTTATTCAAAACTTTAATGATCAAACTTAACACTGTTATGTGTGAAGGAGATTGAATGTTAGCAAAACCTGCAAAGAAAATATATAAATTGAAATTTGCTGATTGCATAAATATTCAGCCCCTTAAGTCAGTACTTTGTGGAAGTATCTTTGGCACCCATTACTGCTGTGAGTCCTTTTGGATAGGTCTTTACCAGCTTTGCACAATGGAATAGTGTAATTTTTTCCCATTCCTCCTGGCAAAATTGCTCCAATTCTGACAAGTTCGTTGGGGATCGTTGATGGACTATAATATTCAAGTCTCGCCATAAATTTTCTATTGGATTCAAGTCAGAACTTTAGCTGGGCCACTCCAGGACATTTATATTCGTCTTTTGAAACCACTCCAGAGTGACTTTGGCCTTGTGCTTCAGGTCATCGTCTGAAATGTGAATTTTCGTCTCTTGGCTGACTCAAGCAGGTTTTCCTCTAGGATTCGCCTTACTTTACACCATCAATCTTACCCTCAATCCTGACAAGCTTCCCAGTCCCTACTGATGAGAAGCATCCCCATACCATGATTCTGCGACCATCATGATTGACAGTTAGGATGGTGTTGACTATGTGATGTGCTGTGTTGGGTTTACCCCAGACGTAACGCTTTGAATTTAGACCAAACAGCTCTATTTTTGTCTTGTCTGACCACAACACCTTCTGCCGCATGTCTGCAGTATCATTTATATGCTTTGTCGCAAACTCCAAACGAGATTTAAGATAATTAATTTTCAGTAATAGCTTTGTTCTTGCCACTAGTCCATATGGCCAGCTTTGTGTAGAGACCGTGATATTGTCGATGTATGAAACTGATTCCCATCTCAGACATGGAACTTGGCAAAATCACTGTTGGCTTCAAAATGGCACCCATAGCCAGTTTCCTGATTGCTTGGCTGCTTAGTTTGGAAGGGTGGCCTGATCTGGGTAGTGACTGGGTGGTACGAAGCACTTTCCACTCTTAATGATGGACTTTACTGTACACAAAGGGATAATCAGTGACTTTGAAATTTTCTTGTGACCTACTCCTGATCTGTGCTTCTCTACCACTTTATCCCCGACTTGTCTGGAAAGCTCCTTGGTCTTCATGATTGGTTTGTCGTATCACTATGTGAGTTGTGGCTTGGACAGATGAATGTACTCTGAACTCAAGTTAAACCACTTTGATTACACACAGACAGAGATAATTACACTATTTGTTTACCTTTGAAACTAATCTTTTGAACTGATTTAGGATTGCCATAGCAAAGGGGTTGAATAGTTACATAATTGAGAATATTCTAATTTTCTTTGAAAATCTAACTTACCTAATATCAGCTTTCTCACTTTGGAGTAGATTGTGTAAATTCTAAATATAAACTCCTATTTGAAAGTCTTATGATTGCAAGCTCAGACTGCAACAAAATGTGGAAACTTTACAGGGGATGAATACTTTTGGAAGGCATTGTAGTTATATCACAAACAGTACAAATATAATGGTTTAGAGTAATTTTTGTAATCGTTCAGGATATATTTGGAAAGGATTTCGTAAATTTAGATACTGAAGAAAACTATATTTATTGTTTATAAAATAACCTCTCTCGATCTAATTGCTAGAATCAGCGAACTATAGATAAGTCTGTGTATTTTACGAATCAGTGTGTTTTAGTCAGATACTAGCTATAAGGACTAAATATTTCAATGAATTCGTAAGGCACCTGTGTGACTACAAATATGATGCTAATGAGCTTGAAATATTATTTTACTCTTTTTTCGAAAATTGTTTTAAGTTTAGTAACCTAGGATCCTTATGACTGCGTCATTTTTATTCTGTAAAGAAAGCGGAATGTTGGATCGTTATTTCGGTATCATTTAACTATAGTTATGATATTCAATTAACTTCAATAATGTTTTTCAGTGACTCTTTTAATAACAGAACGTAAGCTGTCAGTCATATTTGTTTATAAATTTTGCTACAAAAATATCGATTATTATTATTTCATCATATCGTAATTCATCCCTTGTTTCACAGTCACATTAAATTTACTGAGCATTTTGGAAATACATTGAGAACTCTAGCTACACAGAGCTCGTAAAACTCATTATTTCCTGAACAAAAAAGTCTGTACTTTTTTAACACTGATATTTTACCTTGAAGGCGAGACATTCCATGTAGCAAAATTCATCTACAGGTTAAAAAACATTTTCTAGTACTATCCACTGCTGTATTACTATATAACTAGTGCCATAGACGTGCACTATTTCATTATTATTAGGTTTTCATAAAAAAAACAATCGTATGATTCAATTATTATTTGAATTAAAAAGAGTAAGGTAGTTGATGATAATAAGCTTTATGCCAAAAACTTCTAATACAACTTAGTTTAGTTCTTTTAAATATATAGTCGTTACATACATATCAATAAAGGTTCATACTGACTCAGACGACAACTATAGTTCTTTGAAATATATATATATATATATATATAAAGGTTTATACTGACTCAGACGACAACTATAGTTCTTTGAAATAATGAGTGGAGCTAGTAAAGATTTCTGTGTATAATATAAGGTGCTTACATTTAGTTCCAAATATACCATTGCGTTCTCTTCTTGTTGAATACCTAAATGAAGCAATAAAGATGATGTACCGCTGACAAATAACAACATTACATTTGGCACATCATCTTTATCGCTTTACTTTAAAAATGATAAACACTCAGTATTAATACTGGATGTTTTATTTTTCAAAATACATTATAACTCTCGATAGCACATATTTCATGAGAACTCGAATAATCTTCGTATAATTTAACAAAACATCAGCGACAACATCATTATGCAGCCACTTACAAGATTCGCATTTAAATGGCACAGGAACACAGATATAGCTTATATGATAATTTTCAACACCATACATGGCACACTTTATGATTAACTGTAATTTATTTACTAATACCTGCAACAGTTGTGAATCACCAGTGGAACGCTTAGTACCATTTTCTTGACTCTCTTACGTCATATATAAACACTGCTATCCGAGTTCTCACCTTCAAGGATTCTTTCTTCCTTACACTGTAGGAACCTTAGAGTAGCGCTTTAATATGTCTTAACGTGAAAGAAGCTCCTGCTGGTTCCTTTTCGTATTCAACATACGTGAAATAGTTTTACTCTACATCCAGCTTGAAATTGTAAACAAATGTCAATGAAAATGTTTTCAAATCTCCGATATTAATACATTTAATATCCAATTTGAACTTGTGAACGTATGATAGCAATAGGGATTTAGTAAACACCATAGTTTTTGTCAAAAATATATAAATGGTAATATAATTTTACGGGGAACAAGACTGGATACCGAAAACAATACGGTGAGAATTACGATGAATGAGAAACAAGATCAATTCAGATGAATAAATTCAAGCATTGGAACTAACACTGAATTTGAACGACATTTAAGACTATAGCAATAACATAAAGTAGGTTAATAGGCCCTACTTATATTTATCAGTATGGAACTGAACACACACACACACACTTAGACACAGGTGTTTATCACGAGAAGTGGCCTTACTTTGTAGAACTCGTCTATTCTCTTCAAATTGTTAGCTCATTATGCAGCTTTGTGCTTTAAGAAACACGTCAGAAAATATACTCGGCAACTGTTCTTGTTTCTCGTAATAAAACAAAATGCGTCTTAGAAACCACATTTTGAAATTCGTTTTAGCCTCAAGTCCTTACATCGATGGTTCAGTGTCAAGTAAGTATCTTCATATATTTACATATATATTTATTTATTAAACATACTCACCCAAACGCGTATATGTACATATATATATATGAATAGTTTTCTGAGTAAGATTAAGAAAATATTTACAAAATTTAAAGAAGCAAACCTCAGAAACGTCGAATCGTCATGTTATCTGGGTACTGGGACATAAAATTAATATACATTAATTAAAAAAAGCAAATAATGTAACAGTTTTCAAGCCTAACTAATGATAGCACTGCACACACGTGGTATGTGACCACATTATGTAATCACAGTATTGTTTACTTTCTGACTAGTGTGTGCCCAAACAGGATAAGGTTTTTTTTTGGTTTTTTTTTAAGACTTGGTGAGCACATGCGATCACGAATATTAGACGAACCGAAAAAACCTTATGACCCGAGAGGCTTAGGAAAGTGAACCTTTTCTGAAATTGCTCGAATGAGTGGGTTTGACAATTTTTTTTAGTATTTCTAGGATTCCATTGGTTGGGTTATGTCACTTTCAACTCTGAAGTTGCAGTTAAGTGCCGTGTTGTCACTTGGGAATTTGAGAACGTTTGAGAAGGTTGAAAATCCGTATTCTTCAGAAGTTTCTAAATTAGGTAAACTTTGTAAAAGCTTATTCTCTGCCCCTGTTTCGTGAGAGGGTGAGTTTGAACTGCTCTTGTGTGGGCTCGAAGATGAAGAAGATAAAGAGACTGAACTCTGATCGTTCACTAGGCTGCTAAAAGAACGTTCAGACTCTGTTGGACTGTTGATTCCACTGTAAGCCACGTGAGGCCGTAAATACCCGTCTCGAAACAAAGACAAGTTTCGTGATCGTGTAGATGATGTTAATGCAACTGATAATGCGGATTTTGCAGCATTTTCTGGGCCTGATTCGTGCTGTTTCATTGGCCGGTGTTTAGAAGGGTTTTCAATTGCTATGTCACACGCTGCCAACAAACCAAATTCATTGTCACATTCAGGTTCTACTCTAGGTCTGAGTCTATAGTTATTAATCGTAAATTCTTGATCGATTGTTTCGTATTTATGATTCGGTCTAAAGTAGTAAACACTAGATGTCGCTTCGTTCCGTAATTCCTGCTCACGATCTGAGTATTTCCGACTAGTAGAAAATGATGAACAAAAGTAGCCATTCTCACTATTCAACTCTGAACATAATCCAAATTTGTTTCCCAGTCTCGTATTTCGAACCACGTGATCATGAGCTCGGAATCCCACCATAGGAATAAAAGGAAGATCTGCAAAAATGGATATAAGGACATTTGAATGAAAAAGTATACTTTGAAGAAATATCCAAAAAGTAAGAACTAATGCAAGCTTTTCAGTATTTTATTTCATTTTATTATTATACCGTATGACGTAAAAGTAAATTAATACTTTCTAATTAACAAAGGTGTAAGAAATTTCATGTCAACACATCAAAGACTAAACGACTATGCAGGATAGCCAACTTATAATACTGTAGCTCCACTAATGGGTAGTAAGAAAACGGGCTTAGGATAGAAATATAAATATTATAGCAACATTAAACTTTGTAAGAAGAACGAGAAAGAAATCTTACTTAAATTCTAGAGCTCTATATTTACATACTTTGTTTTACACTTGCTAAGAATGAGTAGAAGAAACGATTCAATACCTGGTGTAGTAGCATCCATGATATCGACTTGGTTTTCCTTCTGTTGCTCTTTTATTGACCTCCACAACCCTTGGGCCAGCTGCATGAAAAAAGAAAAATAATCAATCTTTCTCAGAACTAAATGCAAAGAAAACTGTTGTATTTTAATCACTCCAAAGTTGCATCAGTTTCTGCAACTCACTGGAGATGGGGGGGGGGCTAAAATTGAAGCTAACTAGAATTACATCATGGCCTGGTGGCTAAGGCGCTCGACTCACAATCTGGGGGTCGCGAGTTCGAATCCTCTAACTGAACATGTTCGCCTTTTCAGCCTTGGGTGTGTTATAAAGTGATGGTGAAACCAGCTTTTCGTTAGTAAAAGAGTAGCTCAAAAGATGGCGGTGAGAGTTGTTATCTAGCTGCCTTCCCTCTAGTCTATCACTTGTAAGTTAGGGACAGCTAGCGCAGATAACCGTCGAGTAGCGGAATTCCGAAAAACAAACAAACAGATAAATTACATCTTATTTCACCTACCAAACCCAAGAATACTTTGCTATGCCTTGATGGACTGATTTTGATAATAAGTTGTAATATAAATGGTAAATTAGTTTTTCTAACTAATGTGAGACAACATGTTTCATATTTCAATTTACAAATCAAAAGCTGAAAAAAATCACAGATGCTGAAGAAAGAGGCATTTCAAAACACCCTTCTATCAAACTATAAACAAGTTTAACTTTCCCAGTTCACTTTTCACTTTAAACCTAGCGATAGCTCCCAAAAAATTACAATTTCTATTTAAAGCTAAAACGATGGAAACCTTTTGGAGATCTTATTGCAACATTTTAGTATGTTTATGTGCAACTGCGTGCAAAAAATACTAAAGGCCGAACACTCTGGATGAAAATATATATTTTAACTCTGTGTACGTGTTACCACTTTATGCGAAGAAAGCAGCTATTGAGGGTTACTCTCATTAATTTTATTTATAAAGTTTCAGGAAACTGTAAAAAAACGACGAAACGCTAGAAGAGAAAGTGTTTCCCCCACATAACTTTTCTGACGTTTTCTTGCAATAGGATGTGATTGTGTCGCATTATGTGCAGCCATTTCATACTTTCAATTTCATTCGTAAGTATTCTTAAAAGCAGTCAGTTCTAATAAACTCGAACCTTTAAAACAAATTTCCAAGATTTTTAATAAAATGCTATTTATTTTTCTTTAAAATAAACTCAATAACGTTTAAGCAATATAAGTTACTTAAATATCCTTAAAAAAGAAACTGAAATATAAAAAAAGTAAAACAACTAACAATTATCTCAAAAATATATATAATACAAGAAAGATACAAGATTATTTTCAGTCGTTTACATAATATGGGAAATATAAGATGCAAAAGATGTGTTAAAACGAGAAAGTTACACAAAATTTCAGTTTAAAAAGTAGTATAGAATTCGACTGGATAACTTTCATATATAATTTTGATCTAGAATTAATCAAGCAATATTATAACAGTATAAAATTAATTTTAAATTACACGTTATAAAAGTTAATTTATTCAAATTTGGACAATAATATGATATACAGGACTTTCTAATGGACTCTATTAGTATTGAACAAATTCTAATTATTTAAATGTGAACAAACTCACAATAATCTCGATCTCAATTAGGTTAACACAGTGAAATATATAAGCACAAAGTCAACTATTTAATTGTGTACAGTCTTTCTCACAAGTTATCCACATTAATTCTAACATTGATCATTTGAATCACGACTGCTTTCACTGTTTAATAACTCTCTTTGACTTCTGACAATATTTCAACTTTGAGACCTACTGACATGAACTACTCTCAGTTTTTATAATAATCTCGAATAGCGATTGCAAAGTCAGTCCTTTCGCTGTAAATGAACTTTGGCTTACGACACCGCGTAAAAAACACAATAGTCCATTAAAACTGCATCGGCGAACTTGACATGTATATGGTTGAATAGGATTGTTGTGATTTCAGTTTTTGGCCATCTTTTTTTTTATGAAAAAAACAATTGGTTTGAAGGAGTGGCTAGAAAATTGCCAACTCCTGGTTCATGAAACTCCGTCAACTTCAATTTCTCGTTTATTTATTATCTTGTTAGCGGGTTAAATGGATATGCTTCAGTTCACCTCAATGGCATTTTGAGACAGAGCACTATCCTATTTTTACCACATTCTTCACATTGCAAATGAATGTGTAGATCCGAATTTCTTGTGACATAGGTTTTGATCCCTTTCTTGTCCTAAATGCTGTGTTAAACTTTTTATGCCTTCAAAAGCTTGTGTCTTTGAAATGTTAAGACTTTTGATTCTACTATGTTCAACAGTATTGCTATCCGAATATAATTTTTTTGGAAAAGGTTGTGACATAAATATCTCCCGTCATAAGTCTACCCCAGCAGCGTTATGTTATTCAAAGGTCAGGAATTCGCCTTGAACTAAATATGTCGGTGCTAACATGACACCACAGCCCGAACCTGCGACGATAGGTCATTGCATTGGCACAAATAAACTACTATTTTATGAACCACGATTAGCCCACTATTTTAAATTAATTGATTAACATTCTATCAAGATATCACGTCCAACAATGAAACTATAAAGGAAAAAATTTTAACACACAATTATAAATAATAATAAACTATATATTCTTCAAAATACAACAGAAGTATTTTAAAACTTATCACAACAGACAATTTACACAGTATAATAACAATTAATGTAAACTCAAACTGAAATCGCAAGGACTAAAAATGGGCGTAGGACAAAACAATAGTTTCAGTTTAGAAGAAAGAAACATGCACAAGGAAGTAGAAATAATCATACAAATAAAATGCGTTATAAACCGTAGCTCAGTAAAGTAAAAAAAGAAAAGTGTAAAGGGCAGTGAAGAAAGAAGCAAGCACAGTTAGAAGTCATTACCCAACTGTTTGCTACAAAAGGAAGCAAGTGATCATGCATAAACTGGACAAATATACCTGCAGACAAGGAAGAAACAGTAGAAGGGGTGGGAAGAACGAGAGTACCCACAGTGTGATGGCCACTGATGGCGTTAGGTGGCGGTAGTGTCATCTGGCCGTTGGTATGTACGTAGAGGTTCGACTGACCACTGTGAGGTTTGCGGCAACAATCCGTTAGCCATCGGGAACAACAGCGAGCTTTCATTAGTTCTTTTCTTACCTAATGTATTTGAGATTAAGCTTGTTAATCAAGTTAGGTTTAGAATTTCCTAAGATACAATACTGATAAACATTATCATTCAATGACGACAATTTCCAAATGACTCGTTTATATACAAATGATTAATAACGCTATTCATCGAATTTAATATTGATATTTCTTCAAAGATCGTCATAAGATACGGTATATCTAGTTAACACCACAACCTTTTAGTGGTCTCATAAAAGTATAATATTACTAATATTCGTAGCAATCTCATTTTATATTCAGTAATAAAAGTAGTATACTGGTCACTTAGTGATATTTATTATTAAAAAATTACATGAAAATGCGTCTATCTTTACTTTGTTTTTGCAAATAAAACATTTTTAGTACGGTAGAAACACAGTTCAGACTAGTTTCAACTCAGAAACTTCTTTGACACTTTGGTTTATTAGAAACACAAAATATTAAAGTATTTGAGCACTCCTGAATCAAATTATAGAACGTGTTCGTTCACTTTTCTCGATAGAAAAGTTATATTCTTATCTATATATTTGTAATTGTTATGTACTATCAAACATGAAAGTTTGGGAAATTAATGTGTTTTCGTTTGTTTGTTTTTGTGCTCATTGTGCTAAAGAAGAACCTATACATATTCTGTCTCGTTAGACAGATGGATGTCTTGCAGTGCTACGTCTTTAACAAACACTCTTAATGATCTTACATCAAAGTAAATTTTCAGTTGGTTTGTGTGATATTTTACAATTTGACTTTAACTTTTCTGAGTCAAGGAAGAAGGATAATGTTGTTTGTATATTGGACATTATCCTTCAGCCTCAGTTACAATAAATTTGCTTGTTGAATATTTAATGTTGCCCGCTAGATTTCCTTTGTTTTTGTAACTCAGTCATTTTCATTTTATAACGGAAAACCGAAATTAAAAAAATTTATTTCAATTTGATACAAAAATTATTTTGAAACTTCTGAAATAACTTATATATTATTTTGAAATGGAAATGCATGTATGACAATCCTCGACGAAATGTTTGCCCAAATAAGAAATTCACAATTATTATATTGGGTTTCATACGTTCTTTAATTTAAATTCCCCGCTGTAAATCAATAAATTGTCAGACATTAATAACTTATAAAACGATACAAATTGGATATATGTTTCTCTTGTTTAATTCGTAATTCTGTGAATCCGCTGTAAGTTTCTACTTATGCAAAAATCGTTGGATGCATGAATTGACAAAAATTATCAATCTTTGTCAAAGATCATCATTTCTAACTTGAGATTGTCTCCATCAACAGTATAACTCAGAACAGTCTAAAATTAATATGTTTAGAATATATATATGTCCACTTAATAGTAAGTATGTCCACACTAGCGATAAAAACAATTTTACAACGTTGCTGCAAAACCTGTATGAGTCACTTGATATAGTTCTGACGAATGTTTCTATATTTCGTCATCAAGGCGTTTCCCCAGATGATCCGACTGCGGTAAAGATAATATTCATCTCTGAAATTGGTCTAAGATGTATTTTACGAATGTAAGATTTCCAATTCTTTCTTGTTTAAGGTAGACAATGGAGCATATAAATTAGGAGGATGCTTACTCCAATTAAAATTAAATCAGGTTCAACGTCACCAGAGAAAGGCCTGACAATTATTGACAGAATATTGTTTATATATCTTTCAAAATTTATAGGTATAGGTATTTATAGATCATTACGATCATCGTAGTAAATGACTCTTATAAGGGAGCTACCATCAAAACTTTCTATGTTGAACTACCATGTAATCAGCATAGCATTCATTATGGTATCTACACAGATCACAACGACCACCGTGGGAATCAAAACAGCTCTTGGACTCATTTGTGAAGACAACTAGTCTCTAGTGACGTCCTGTAATTTGTACGTGAGCTTGTAGGTGGTGTGATAGTAATCTTGGTCGTGTGGCAAGACGACAATTCCTCAGAATAACTGTCTGTAACCTGATTCTCACCTTGGTGATTTGATGTGAGCTTGACGGAATTGTTTATAGAATCTTACAGTATTGACAAAGCAATTGTATCAAGCCAATTTGCTAAGATATCGGTCCTACCTACCACTTCACAAGCATTTTCTGACACTCTTCTTGACTGGTATCTTGTCAAAAATACAAAAATTGCACTCTGTTATAAAGGCAACAGGAAAATAACTTTTTTAGCCACTCTGTTCTGAATCATGCCAACGGTCTAGTCTCAAGTGACATCAGTCTGGTCGTAAACAAAGCCGATCACAAATATTTTCTGAATGCGAGATTAATCAAGGAACGAATTAAAGATATAGTTCACCGTTTCGCTGGACTTAGAAGATTGTCCAAACAATCCTCGGCTCCTGTCAATGTGAAATTCTTTCCAATATGACCTTCTTTCACGCTAACAGATACGAACTTAAGTATATGAAACTCTCACTGTGGGTGCATAATGCGAGAGCTTGGTGTTGTCAAAAGACAAATAGCCCATTGTGTAGCTTTGCTCTTAACAACAAAAAGGCAAAAATCATATTTGGTTTAGCCTAAAATCCTATATAACAATTGCATGATCTTCAAAATGTTTTTCAGAATAGACTGCAAAAGAAATTTCAAATAAAACATCAGTTAGTTGATAATTATTTATCGTAATCTATAAAAAAGTTGCAATCATTAATGTCACGTAAAACATGCAATTTATGTTAACGTTTCTCAGTTATTTAACTGTTTTGATATGCGTTTTTCAATAATACTTTAGAGTCTACTATATGACTGGCTAACATTTGTTAACTGTTTGTGTAAACTTATTACGTGCTTATCTTTAACATGTTTGAATTTCGTACTGTTGAAATAACATAGAAACAGACAAGATGAATGTCAGGTTTTTATGTATTGGCCAGATTGTTTACAGTAGGTGACGGTGACTTGTTAGGGATAAATTTCAACAATAAACAAACAGCACATAGTCCTCTTGGTTTAGAATAATATATTAAAAATTCAAACATATATAGAAACGTCCGTTACACTGTTGATTATCACAGTTGTATACAGAGCTTTAAATAGTTATCTCTTTTTCGTCAAAGTCCACACAAGCTGGTTCAGTTATTTTAGAACACAACTGACAAGATAAACTATTTCTTCAACATTCTGTCATTGCAATATAATCTGTGATCATTTCAATTGAAAAATCGTTATTATACGCTCTTATGGCAAAATTCACAACCACACAGTCTAGAGTTATATTTCGAACTACAATTTCGACGCGCATTTATACCCCAACAGAGGCCTGGAAAATTTCACACACTACAAGATATTATGATGCAATAATATTAAAACAACGAGAAACTCAGAAGGTTCTAGTAACACGACGCAATAATACAACAATCATCAATTCGTAGCTATTGAACTACACAACGTATAATTCTAAACTAAGCAGTCGTATATATATATCTAACAAAAAGAAATAATAAAGTTAGAATTTCTTTAATTGATACTTTTATCATTGGTGTCATAAGACACAAAATCCTACCTTTGAATTTCGGAGACAAAATAATATGAATATGAAAAGACCTTGAATACTGTTAACAGTTGTGAAGAGATACCCTGTCAAGGATGTTTTCCATAGAAGAAACCACTGAGCTAATCCCAATGTTAGGCTCAGCAGGATAAGGATACAAACACTATGCCGACACCACGATCTGACAAAAACAAAGATTGTACATATAATACCATCTAGCATATATTTTAAACATAAATCTTTTTCTTTATTGTATTTTTGTAAGTTAACAAAACTTACAATGTAAGTTCATACATCATACTAGCAATTGATAAACACTGATGAATTACAAAATGGCGAATAGGATTAAAATGAACTTGATAACGCTTCTTACGTTGCTCGAAGTTGTTTAAATCCAAGAAGCACATTAATCATAAGATATTGTCTAGATAATTTATTTGGTGCAATGAATATTTGGTTCATGTAGATGCGTTACAACTATAGCACATCATGATGCAACTATTCACATAACTTGAGAGTGTACACTCATTTAATCACCCATTTAACCTAGGAATATCCATTTTTGAACCATTTACTTAACCTTGGAACCACTGGAACACACACACACTTATTCAACCATCTACATCTACTAGGATATTCCATAATCCAACCATCTACCAAGAACATATATTAATTCAACCATCCATCTTACTTCAAAACATTCAACCTGGGAACATCCATCCATTCGATCATCCGCCTAGCCTAGGAATATTCATCCATTCAACGTTAAAAGTAACCTAAAACTCTCTTGTTTTAAAAATCAACCTTACCAGGGAACACCCATTTCATTATATTTTCAGCCTAATCATGGAACACCCAAGTATTCAACCGTTAATTAGTTTTAACTACGCAATGTTTTATACCTTCATGCAGTGTAAGTCATAAAAAATCATAATGACATTAAATTTAAGGTCGATATGTAATACATTGTTTGAGCCTAAGTATAATAAGCGAATCAAAATGATTACCCCCCCCCCACACACAATATATGTAACAATGGCATAAAAACTCAAAATATGAATACGTATATATATATATTTATATTTATATGCGCGTGTGTGTGTGTGCGTGCGTGTTTATAAACTTTGCACTACTAAAACAATATCACCTTTCTTAACACTATTCACTGATCTTCTATATTTCAAGAACGTTTTCAGTATTTTACTGTTTTTTTTTTCAAATGTTACAAATAGTTGGATTAAATATTTATTACTCAATAAATCAGTTTTGTATTTCACATTAGTTTGCTTTTGTGTTAGTCGATTATCTTATACAGAAACATCTTTCTAAAAACAGTCAATTTAGTTTATCGGCAGAAAAAAAACAATCGTGAAATGAAAACAAACACTCGAAACTCGAAGAAAAATGCACTGAGAGATAACGCCTAATGAATACAGATGAATTAAAAAAATAGTATTCCGTGGGTTTGTCGTCACTACACAGTTATAATACATGGTAATCTTCACGATCCATAACAAGCAGCTTTCACT